GAGAAGCTCCGTCGTGCTGGCGTGCAGCCTCTCGTGAACCTCCCTGGTGTGGGACGGAACTTCCAAGACCACTACCTGACATTCTCCGTCTTCCGGGCGAAGCCTGAAGTCGAGTCCTTTGATGACTTTGTCCGCGGAGACCCAGAAGTGCAGAAGAAGGTCTTCGAGGAATGGAACATCAAGGGCACGGGGCCTCTAGCGACGAATGGCATCGAGGCTGGCGTTAAGATCCGGCCGGATGCAAAGGAACTAGAGGAGATGAAGAGCTGGCCCACGAATGACTTTTATAAGGGCTGGGAGAGTTACTTCAAGAATAAACCGGATAAGCCGGTGATGCATTACTCTGTTATTGCTGGGTAGGCACTACACCCTCTTCAAATAACATACTAGAGATACTAACATTTGATAGCTGGTTCGGCGACCACATGCTCATGCCCCCAGGCAAATTCTTCACCATGTTCCACTTCCTCGTGAGTATCCCACCCTTCCATACCACCACCAATCCCAATCTCACTCATTAATCAATCAATCAACAGGAATACCCCTTCTCCCGAGGCTCCACGCACATCCAATCCGCCGACCCCTACGAAAGCCCCGACTTCGACGCCGGCTTCATGAATGACAAGCGCGACATGGCCCCCATGGTCTGGGGATATATCAAGTCGCGCGAGACTGCCCGACGGATGGGCGCCTACGCAGGCGAAGTAACAGGCATGCACCCTCACTTTTCGTATGACTCGCCCGCGCGGGCATTCGATCTGGATCTGGAGACGACGAAGGCGTATGCGGGGCCGAATCATATTTCTGCTGGGATTCAGCATGGTACGTCACACCTCCCTTCTTCCCTGCATCTAGGTGGACTAGTCCACCTAGAAAAGAATACTTACTGACATTATATAAGGCTCCTGGTCCCAACCCCTCGAACCTGTTACTTCGCCCGCATCGCCTACAAGGCTGAACTCCAATATACAGGATACAAGGGAGGAGATCAAGTATAGTAAGAAGGATATCGAACATATTGAGAAGTGGGGTGCGTATCCCTTCCTACACAGCCCCCTCCCTCTAACAATCCCGTACCATTAAACTGACTAATGACTGAATGAATGATAGTCCAACGCCACGTCGAAACAACCTGGCACTCCCTCGGAACATGCAGCATGGCGCCCCGCGAAGGCAACAATCTCACGCCGCACGGCGGAGTCGTCGATGAACGACTCAATGTGCATGGTGTGCAGGGGCTTAAGGTGGCTGATTTGTCTATTTGTCCGGATAATGTGGGGTGTAATACTTATAGTGTCAGTTCCCATCCCCCCCCTCCCTCCTGTTCTTTTTAGTAAGTGGGTTATGCTAATATGTGGTGGTTGTGTAGACCGCCCTGCTTATCGGAGAGAAATGCGCTGTCTTGACCGCTGAGGATCTTGGTTACTCGGGTAAAGCGTTGGATATGAAGGTTCCGGAGTATCATGCGCCTGGGGAGGTGACGTTTTTGTCGAGGTTGTGAGTTGAGTATACCTTTTTGAAGGTGGGTGGGGTGTTGTTTAGTTGTACTTTGTTAGTTTGATCGATTGAGTAGGATGAAATTTTACATGAGTCGTTATGAATTGCTTAGCAGTAAGACGATAGAATGATAATTTTCTTTTCTCGATAGTAATACAATTTGTTGAAATACAAACAGACATTCTTGGTTCATCGGGAATGAACTACAACTTCTCCGGAGGAACCACCAAATTCACATCCACTCCCTCCTCACTCACATTGACCACGCCCTTTGCCGCAACCTCTGCAACCTTCTTCTGGTCCGCCTCGCGGTTCCAAACCTGCAGGTGCTTGCACATACCATACATTGTCGTGATCGGAGGCGCATACCCCAGCCCGCCCTGTTCTGGCGACTTGCGCGCGCGCGAATCATCCGCAATGTAATGCACATTGGTGATGGAGAAAAGAGCAGGCTGCATCTTGGCGATATCTCCGGTGATTCTAGGGAGCCAGGGGAAGTAAACGACCTGCAGGAAGGAGTACCATTCAATGAGGTAGGACAGGATGAGGAAAGGGACGGGAGGTACGCGAGGGAAGTTAGCGGGTGTTTTGGAGAGGGTGTGCAGGAGGAGATAGACGTCGCCGTAGGTGGGGGCTGGGTTGGGGTCTGTGACTAGGAAGTATTGGCCACCGATATTGGGGAGTGTGGTTGGGCTGTTGGTGTGCTCGATAAGGCGCTGTTCGTAGAGAAGGTGGGCGATGGAGACGTTTTCGGCGTTGACGAAGTTTTGCATGGTGTCAATGAGCCAGCTGATAGGGTTGTTAGTCCTTGATCTTCTGCAAAGGTCATTGAGTGCTAATAGGGCTGTCTTACGCAGGGGAACCGCCGGATCTGAGATATGATGTAGTGAGAGAGCCTTCCGTGTCGCCGATCCCGTAGATGCCATTCGCCGGCCGGATACAGCCTGTGCGGAAGTTTCCTTCAAGATCGTCGGCGGCGCGGATGATCTTCTCAGCCTTGGATTTGGAGGCGGCATAGTTGCTGAAGAAGTCGTAGTGTTCTTCCGGAACTGGGGTCGAGTCATCGACTACCTGGACATGACCCTTGGGGGACTTGTTCCAGGGTGCGATCCAGAAGGATTGACTACGGAGACTGACAGATCCCGAGGATGTCGAGATGAGGCAGCTTGCGCCAGCTTTCTTCGCCGCAGCCAGCACGTTTACTGTGCCGCCTACGTTGACGTCGGTGCAACGGGGAAGAAAAGTCTTGAGACGCTCTCCAGGCCTGATCACGGCGGCATTGTGGAAGACAGTCAGGGGTCGGTCAGCGACAGCTTCCGGCCAACGTTGTGCGAAAGCAGTGGCCACGGCCATCTCGTCGGCAATATTCGTCTTGAAGAAAGCGACACCCTGATGGAGAATCTCGCGACGAGGCGCTGCAAGGTCCAAGATACGGATAGCCGACGGATCTTCTCCGCGAGCGAGCAGATGATTCACCATCCAACTTCCCACGAATCCTGGATTTGTTAGCTTTGGAACTGTAAATATGGGAAATCGCATAAGGCAGTCTCATGAGCCACGGCATGCGAATGTCTTTTGGAGATAGTACGCACCTGCCCCACCGACCACGATATAGCGCCGGTTTTGCTTCGGGGGAAGGCTCTTTTGCACGTCGACTGGGTTTCGAATGGCCTCTTCATATGCTGCTTTAATTTCATCGACAGTCCACCGATGAGGAGACAGGCGGCTTACTTCCTCCGGAGTTCCTGTCATACCACGATTGACGTGGTAGAGATAAAGGACAGCTAGTCCGGAGGCAACGGCGATCTCTGAGAACATGTCGAAATGGCAGCTCTAGGCTGAAACGTGTAGTAAAGGGGGTATGCGATGCAGACAGCAGGATAAAGGACAGTCAGATCTTTCTTATTGTAGCGAAGTTAGCACTTTGCCCCTGTTGATCTATCCCTTTGCGAACGCACAAGAAAGCAATGCTGTCGCAACAGAGATCATTCAAAATCAATATAATTCAGGTACAAGAGTATTGCTCAGCCATAAATCTCATCACTAACTTACAATCTCGCGTGGCTAAGCCTTATAGCCACCATCCATGGGTCTCAGAAATCCAAGCGAACGGAGATTAATAGTTCGGGATTGGACCGTTCGGTTAGACAAGTCAGGCCCACATGTCATTCGGTCAGTGGCCAGGTGTAAGTTCGTTAAGGGGTAAAGAACCTATCAAGAAGAGAGTTTCTCTGTCAACCAGCCACTAAAGCATAAAATCGGTTCGATAAATTTGATGCATCCCTTGATTCCGAGTTGCATTAGCAGGAGATGGCCTCCACGTGCCCGGCGCCGGGGCAAAAGCAAGCAAAATGGTCCGATTCGGTTTATTAGTGACACCTTCGGAAAATCTGATGGCGCGGTCAGGGGCTGAGACATTGATTGAATATGACCGGATTTATTGACAGCCGAGAGGCTCAATTATTGTGATTCAGAAGGTAAATTGTAAGCATCTCAACTGCCATAGTATACTCCAACACAGCCAAGAGTACTCCGTACACGCTCTTTAATTGGACGATGCATGCTGCAGGTGTCTGTAAGCACCCAATTCATAGTAAGATCCGATGCTGTGCACATTTTCTATCCCAATTGGGGCTAATAGTACCTTGCTTGTATTCAGGACTACGCTTGACTTATCATATAGGAATCATATCGCAGGGTTGACTACTTCGTGATTGTGATTATTGTCTGGCAGAAGATTCAACAGCCATTTCGGTATTCTTTCCGAGCGGTGGGTCGGGCTTATCTCCGCAATTCCGAGCCTTGTCTCTCCCTCTACGATATGGCCGAGATAGAGATGAATTTGGAGGCTTATACAAAGGTATACCGATAAGAACTGTGTTTTACTCTTATCGCCTGCAACGGACTATCACCTAGCAAACATACACTGTGGGTTCTCACGCGAGTGCCTCCTGATGAACCCAGTCGGTTACCTAGAGATTAAGGATGAAAGCGTACGTCTACACAGTAAGCCCCCAGCATGCTTGTTCTTAGTAAGTGGCTCTTCCTCGCTACTCCAGCATCTGACGGCATTGGCATACATGCTCCTCCCTCCATTTGGTCGCCCTCGTGCCTTTGAAGTTGGAGCTATGGCCACCAAAACATTCGTACCGTCGCTTGCATGGCCCGTGCAAAGAGTTTCCCACCGGGGCCACTGTCTCAAATATTGCATTTTGGATCCTTAATATAGGTCCTTATGCCTACCAATACAGGGCACTATCCTTGATTTCTCGGTAGCATGCTCTGACGGATTTTCACATTCCTCAGAAGAATGGTATGGGGCTGGTCTTGGCACGTGTCGAGTCACCTCTTTGGGCTCGCGCAGGAACTGCGCAATTGCCAGCACTGAAGAGACAAATCATTTTCTCTCTCGAGATGAATATAGATGACGGCATGGTTACCTATCATATTTGGACCTGCAACGTCCGCTCGGAACACGGGCCACTGGGTGGTGGCCGCCAGAATCAGCATGGATACCTAAAAAGAAGGGGCGCAGACGTTCTGGATCGCAAAAACAGTTTCGCACAGGATCGACCTGGTTGTTGCCAGAGTTTCATCGGCAAACCGGCACGGGCGGCACTCGGAACCGAGCCCTGAACTGTGACTGGGTCATGGGCAAGCATCAACCCCGTTTTAGCCTCGAAGGCCTCCCCCGCCCTGTGCTTGACATTTTCTAGTGGACTGGCTCCCTCAGGGTAAGGAAGACGCAAATGCTTCTCCTCGTTGGTGTGGAGCTGGCCGCGTTCAGAATTAGTATCGTCTTCCGACATGGTGGTGGGGACTGGGCTTCGTTTGCGACTGTGCATCTGCCGTTTTCGCCAGAAATCCACCGCAGTGGAGATGCTTATTCATGCGGTGGTGACGTCCAGGACTTATCTCCAGTTTTCTCCCCATCTGGAGCAAATTAGGGATCCTGGGGTAGGTAGATCAGCCTGGCGAAACAGGGTCTGTTAGTGACTGCCATAGTCACGACAGGTATCCATGCAGAGAGACACTGGTAAACTTGCGATGCATGCCCATGAATCCGCATCACACTGTGTCTTATGCAGATCACGCCCTGTAGGTGACGAATAGCCAGCTCTAGTATGAACTAAGTGCGATTGGGCGGGCCTCGTATGCCGTAGCGCAATTTGAATCAGAATTCTCCTGCTACACCGTAACGCCATGCCAGTCCGTGCTGCGAGAGAGGTCAGTCACTGAGGCATTATTTTCCCCCAATACGACTGGGTAGTATATAGTAAGGACTAAAAAGGGTATTAACTCACTGAATGGACATGCAACTTCCCTCGGCTAGTCAATAATAGGGATCATCAGCCGCGTCTAACCATGGATTCCCATATCCAAATTCTAGAAGGAATTCATAGCCTGTCTGTTTTACTATATCCGGATCGTCAGTTAGGGGACACCCCAGCACAACACGTCTAGGCAGCGGATCTGGCAACTCAACGTGGAAGATGCAGATGACTATGAGTTGAGTGCCTAGCGGTGAACGTATCAATTTTAGTTCTCGTGCAATGTCCATCAGCACCTGTCTTTTCCTTGGCAAGAGTCGAAGAAGATCCGGTGGAGGAAGACCGAGGGCTTATCAGTCGCACTCCTGCCGACTGTTCTCGTCCGGCGCCCCCACTTTGAGTGTCTTCTCTTTTGTCTCGCTCTCGCTCTCTCTCTCCCTCTTTTCTTTCCCCTAATGTCACTGACTCACTAGTTTTCGTTGCTAATTATTATCGTATGCGTTTCAGAATTTAATTTCCGCTAAGCTTTATCTTGCAACTCCCAACGTCTATCACTCAAAAAAATTGTCTTCTCCCTTCCCGGCATTTGTACTCGTCTTGTTGGTTTCCATGTCTGCTGCGCTACAACTTGAAATCGCTCACAGTTCGAGAATTTTGGGAGCAATCCTCTACTTGAATTTCTGTCGCATTGGATACGGTTGTCTTTCTTACTCTTGCTGAATCGGGAGCACGAGCGAGTCCAAGAGCCAGTTTTTCGAGTCATTATATAGTAGCTGCAGCGCATTTCAGCGCGCTCTATCTTAATTTTCTTTCATATTACTCCTCCACCGCAGCTATATAATAGATTAGGAGGTTTATATCAGCTGTATCGGCTGTACTCGCTCCAACTGTGGAGAGCTCTTCCCCCTCTGGGTCACGGACCGAATTCTAATTGACGCCACGAAAATGTCCTCAGCCAAGATTCCTTCTTCAGATCCCCCGGCAGGCCCAGGGGATAGCAAAGAGGGGCCTACCTCCACATATGCCCAATCATACGCAGTATCAGGCTCATCCGAGGACACTATCGATCAAGTGGATGACCTGGCGCACATTCCCACGCGCGCCTCTCGAGCCTCGATACCATCTCTAGCCCAAAGAGTCACATCTATAGGGACGACTGGCACATCTGACCCGAACTATGAAGTTGATTGGGACGATGAGTTCGACACTAATAACCCGAAGAACTGGCCCTTCCCCTACAAAGCTATGGGGATCGCTATTCTATCATACAACACCCTGATTATGTGAGTCTGGCGCATCGCCTAGATACGCATTAAGCGACAACGACGCTAATACCTTTCAGCGTATTATACTCAACATCGTACACATCCGGAGAGTCGCAGATTGCAGCTGAATTTGGGGCCTCCACCACCATCGTTACGTTGGGATTGACTCTGTACCTCATCGGTCTGGCTGTGGGATCCATGTTTATGGCGCCACTAAGCGAATTGTACGGCCGAAAGCCAGTCTGCATAGCCTGCTTGTTTATCTTCACAGTATTGATCATACCTTGCGCGCTCGCCAAAAACCTTGCGACTCTGCTGGTTGTGCGCTTCATCGCAGCGTTGTTCGGAAGTGTAATGATTTCCACTGCGCCGGGGATGGTTGCGGACATAGTCGAAGATGACCAGCGCGCGCTGGCAATGTCGGTATGGAGTCTCGGGCCCGTGAACGGACCAGGTAGGCATAACCACTCCCCCGCCAAAACCTACCTGTTATTGACCCTGCCCTAGTCCTCGGACCCATTATCGGAGGTTTCGTCACCCAGTACCTGGGCTGGCGGTGGATGGATTGGATCGCTCTGATATTGTCTGGAGTCGCGTTGGTCTTTTCATGTATCATGAAGGAGACTTATGGCCCCATAATCCTGCAAAAGAAAGCCGCCCGCATGAGGAAAGAAACGGGCGACTCACGATGGTGGTGTCGATACGAACAGAAGGCCAGTCTGAGTGAACTGCTCAAGATAAATCTCGGCCGTCCGTTTGTAATGGCAGTCACTGAGCCTATTTGGTCAGTCTTTCTGAATCAGTACTCGCGTTGTCACTTCAAAGCTGATGTGCCTTTCATATAGTATATTCTGGAATATTTACATTGCCATCGTGTATGGCATCCTCTATCTCTGCTTCACAGCCTACCCTATCGTTTTCCGGGATATTCGCGGTTGGTCACTTGGTCTCTCCGGCCTCGCATTCCTGGGTATCGGAACTGGATGCGTGATCACCATCTCCAGCGAACCCTTGATCCGCCGCTTGATCAACAGTCATAAGCCGGACCCCGAAACAGGCAAACCACCGCCGGAAGCAATGGTGGCCTTTGTATGTATCTGCGCGCTCCTGATTCCCGCTGGAGAATTGTGGTTCGCCTGGACCTGTTCGCCTGCCTCGATTCCTTGGATTGTACCCATTCTCGCTGGTGTCCTCTTCGGCACGGGCAACACGGGAGTCTTCATCTACGCGACCAACTACTTGGCTGGTAGTTACGGAGTGTATGCAGCGTCCGCGCTGGCAGGAAATTCCGTGATCCGGAGTATTCTGGGAGGTGTCTTACCCCTTGTTGGAACGTATATGTATGCCGGTATTGGTCCCAATTGGTCAGGGACCCTTTTGGGCTTGCTCGAGGTGGCTATCGTCCCGATCCCATTTATTTTCTACAAGTATGGCTACAAGATCCGGGAGAAGAGCGTGCTCATCCGGCGGATGCAGGAGGATAAGCGGCGATTGGCGGGAAAGCGCCAACACCAAACACAGCAGGTGGAGAATCTTGAGAAAATCGAGGAGAAGGAAACGATGGAGGTATGAGGGAGGAGTGTGATTGAGACTGGTGACAGTGAATCGACATTAAGCACAGGAGAACATATGAGTTCTTGCGCAGAAAAGCATCCTTGCACAGTTGGAGTTGGCACTGAACCTTGACAATTTAACCTTGGAAGGAACCATTTATCTGGATTAATGTGGATATATACATGTCTGTCAAGAAAAGTCACGAAGTAATGGATTGAAGATCTCGGGTACCATAGTATAGCACATAGAAAAAAGTTGAATAATTGCTAGTCATTAATCAATATGTTGAAATGGGTTATCACCCTGTCCTCCTTACCCTCCTCTCCACGCCCAACGCTTCCTGCAGGATTCGCTCATACTCTCCCAACGCCACGGCGCCAGCTGGGAACACCATCACGGCTTCCACATACACTGGGTTGGGATTTGATTCTGAAACAACAGAATCATCATCACTTCTCCTATATCTCCTTACATAGCCGAGCACATTTACCCACGCGCCAACGGACAGCTCCTGCGAAGTGACTGTCTCCAGCACCGCGTTGATATCCACGGCAACAGAGGGTGGTTCCTGCGGTGGTTTCTGACGCGGATAGTTGTGTTCAAGGATGAGATGCCCCGTTTGGATGTTGTATGTCCTCACGCTGAGAAAATCAGTTTCTTTACTACTATCTTCCTGAGCAGGCAAAGAAGCAAGTATCTCTAAATAGTCTACGGGATACAGCATGCAAAACGATAAGATATACACATAGATAGACAAGGAACTCCACGCACCAACCGAGAAATCGGACCTTCGAGCTAACTGGAAGAGAAGGTAGATCGGAGAGGAATGCCCGCGTAGAAGGAAGAGGTGCGTTCATTCCAGCAGGTGAGATAGTCTCATAAAGAAGCCATCGTATAGAGGAATGATCTCGAGGCAGCAGTGATCGATCACAAGGCAATCAATCAATCAATCAATAATAAATAATTAATACCCGTGAAATACGATGACCGGCGTGACCCCCATCCACGTGACCATATCACCCCGATAGGCTTAGCGCGGTATGTCATAGGGCCAACGAGGGGAAAACCAACTTGAATCCGCTGGGGATCTCCTCCATCTCTTGCTCGCTCTTCTCTCGTCTCGGACCTTATCACTCTCTCTCTGTTCTTGTCGCTTATCAAGGACCGCTGCCTTGCTCGACCTGGCTTAGGTGACTCGGAGCTGATCGACTCCCGCACCCTTCACCAGGATAAATCACCGTCCAGCGATCCCTCACCGATCCCGCCCCGTTGCCACGGACCATCATCTCTTTCCATCCCACCTTCCACCGATTCCAGAACCCGTCGTTACACTTCCTCCCGACTCAACACCAACAACTTCCCCATCGGACGTCGGATCGCTAGTCCCTAGCATCACCCCGATCATCGCAATAGCAACGACCCTCTATCACAGCCTAATTAACCCCCATACACCCTTATCAACATGTGGTCTTGGTTCGGCGGATCCGCCGCTCAGAAGCGGAAAGATGCGCCCAAGAATGCGATTCTCATGCTTCGCGAGCAGCTGGACATGCTCCAGAAGCGCGAGAAGCACTTGGAGAATCTGATGGAGGAGCAGGATGCAATTGCTCGGAAGAACGTAACGTCAAACAAGGCCGGTAGGTGACCGCAGAAAAACAGTCAACTAGGCAACAACAAATGAAGACTAATAAGTTATTGATCTGTATAGCGGCTAAGAATGCCCTCCGACGGAAGAAGGTTCATGAGAAGAACCTCGAACAGACGACGGCGCAGATTGTTCAGCTAGAACAGCAGATCTACTCGATCGAGGCGGCGAATATCAACCAGGAGACTTTGAAGGCTATGGAGGCGGCTGGTGCGGCGATGGCGAAGATCCATGGCTCTATGACGATCGATAAGGTGGATGAGACGATGTATGTTGTTTCGTTATGGTATTATCTGTGTGATGGGAATAAGGCAACTGACTATGGACTAGGGATACACTTCGCGAACAGCACCAACTCAGCACGGAAATCGCAACAGCCATCACAAGCACCTCTCTGGTCGATCAACCAGACGAGGCCGACTTGGAGGAGGAACTCGAGGGTTTGGAGCAGGAGGCCATGGACGAGCGGATGCTCAACACAGGTACTGTGCCGGTTGCAGACCAGCTCAACCGTTTACCTCCTGCGGCAAATGGAGAAAGTAAGCCACTGTCCCTCCCTCCTCTCTATGAAACTATTCTAATATATTTGCAACAGTCAAATCCAAACCCCAGACCGAAGAAGAAGACGAGGAAGCAGAACTGGAGAAGCTACGTGCGGAAATGGCCATGGGATAATTGGCCAGCTAGCTATTTTGTTTTCCTCCAATTCCTTACAGACTCGGGTTTCTTTCACCTCTCCTTCTTCCCTTTTAATCATATGTGTCAAAGAACATGTGCTGCCTCCATTTCACCGTTTTGATTGATTGCGTTATTTGCGCCCCTTGGAGTTAGTTAGCTTACATTTTTTCTTATTACTTGAATCCTTGCATGATGGAATGAACTCATTGTCTACTTATGTTCGGTTCCTATATTGTGATTGAATACATCCGCTAGTAGTAGAGTTGAATTGAGTAGCTGATCCATGATGTTTTGCTCATACATGAAAACATAAAACTGTATCTGTTCCAGGTGTCAATGTATTATCTACCCATCATACTTATGTACATGATCATACCTGAAATCTAGTCCTACAGCCTTGTCTACTTTCTACGTATAGTAATCATGCTGCCTAGAAACCCATCCATCCATTCATCTATCATGAAAAATAAACAAAAATTGTAGTAGTGGTCACGGTAGTATAAACAGACACGTCGTTCCCTGCTTACTATATAGGCATCCACCATAAGCATACTATACACCACCACTAAGCTTAACTTTTCTTAGGACAGTGGGAGCCTAGCAGAACCCTACTACTAGTAAAATACATAGGATTGATTACTATTAGAGTATAGTCGAACCTTGGTGATAATCTCTACGAATCACGCTACTACTTAGCCACGATGTAGATTATGAAGTAGTACATATCTTTCTTATTCAACTACAATGAAAGAAAATATTCTCTTCTCTTCCCATCCATCCATCTAGACCAAGTCGGAAGTATAATCTCGCAGTGATAAGGATTAGGATGAGGTTTTATTTTGATAAATAAAGGTAGATAGATTTACGGTAAATAGCTAAAATATGATATGAGGTAATAAGAAATAAAATTGAGAAATGGAATAAAAGTAAACATTCAGATATTGAAACGCTCAAACTCCCCATGTTTTTGGTAAATGATCTCGCAAACCCATCCGGAATGAAAACCCCCGCCCATTTGAGTGTGTGTTTGCCGAAGTGAAATGGAAACAATCAGTTAGTTACTTAGTTATACGTGAACCCCCGGAATAAAAGACGAATGGTAAAGCCACTGCGGGGAAGTGGTATATTAGGTAGCGAACGACCTTGAAAAGTCTCTGCAGTGGCTTGAAAGGGGTAGTAAAGAGAGTGAGAAAAGGGGTATGAAGCTGCACATCATGGAAACCAGGCGTAACTCTTGAGTAATTTGGCACGAGCCCCGTCGTTCGCTTCGTGACACCACTTGGATTTCCATTTCCACTCTTGCGCAGCAGCCTCGATGAGGGCTTCCTTGCACTCGGGAGGAAGTTCCTCCAGGATTTCGGGGCTCGTGAACTCGGGATTAGCGGAGTCAGCAACGCTGATTAGGCCGTTGGAGCCGAGATCGTGCACATCGCCGTCTGGGCCGGGAACGCCCAGGCTGGAATACGGTGAAGATTCGAACTGGATATCATGGATGGCGAATCGGCGGGACAGCGCAGCTGGAACTGAGGAGAAGAGGGTGGATTCGGTGGTTGGCTGTTCAGGTTGGCTGTCGCTGGGTTCGTTGGCTTCCCTGTCAACAGCAGCTGACTCTGCTTCGCTGGTGCCGTTCGTCAGGCTCAGGGTAGACATGCCCTGAGCTAATTTGGTTGCAACTCGAGGGTCGGGGGGAGGCAGACGCTCCCAGCGGGCGTGCGTCGGTTGCATAATCTTGGGGTACTGCATGACGTTGGTGTGGATGTCATACTGTCCTTCAAGGTTTTCGCGGCGCGCAAGAGATATGAGTGAGTTAAAGTTGCTACAAGCATGTCAGTATACAACTAGTGTCAGGCAAGCGCGTCATCACATACCTCGCCTCTCGGGCATGTTCGAGCATCCAGTTATCACCAGTAACTGTAACCTTACGTTTCTTCGAATCCACCGCCTTTCCGGTGGGCAGCGGCACCGACGGAGCGCTGGTGTGATAGACACTACTGGCACCGTGCCAGGCCACGTATTGATTCTTGTTGTAAGGCTCGCCTGGGGCAGGCAGCTTATCTTCAGGGACGGCAAGTTCGCCCTCGACATCTCCACGCTCCCTCGCGGCCTGGGTATGGTAATCATCGGTGACCTTCTTTCCACCAACAATAATCTTTGCACCGAATTCCCGGAAGACAGACCGAGCGGTGACAACACCGATAGCTCGACCTTTGTAAGAGTGGGGGATAATTTCTCGTTCGATGAGATCGCGTTTCGCCTCGTCGTCGATAATGATTTTATAAAGGAGTTTGTGCTTCTGGAAAAACAGGTACGAGTCCCTGAAACCAATGCATCGCGCAGGCTCAGTAGACAACATGTATTTGCGATCACCACGGTTGAGAATCGTAAACACACGGACCCTATATTCTCGGTCGCCCAGCAGGTTGCCGTTCTTGTCCACCTTTGTCTCGCCCTCGGGGTCGTCTGGGAGAGCAACTTCGTCGTCGATAACGTCCATCATGTTGCCCTCCTTGTCGATCGGAACCTGGGTAACATGCGACGGGCCCCGGTTACGTGCCCACCTACCACCACTAGCAGCGGGACGACCGCGCCTTCGCTTGACCGGCGTGGATGTATGAATCGGGGTCTGAGGGGCGCCGTCATCAGGCGCATCCCAGTCTGGGGGACGGTTCTTCGGGGGACGACCTATGCGGCGCTTTCGTGGGATGGCTGACATGCGGCCACCCATGCGTGTAGGAGTGTCGCCGCGCGATGGAGGGTTCGAATCCTGGGCGGGCGTTGCGGCTGCCTCTTCCTCCTGGCTGGGTTCTGCCTGGGCTTCCGCCTCAGGATCCTTATCGGAAGCATCTCCCGGATCTTCCATCGCTGGCGATGATCCACGCGATGGGGGTGCTTCAATCATCTCCTCGTCCGAGACGTCGGGGAGCGGAGGGGCGGCATTCCCTACTGGGTAATTAGTTGTTCGCGTCCGTGACGACCGAGGCCGCGACGGCCAAGGAAAGGGTAAGGTGAAAACCGAGGAGATCACTTACGCATTGATTGCGCAGCTGCTTGAGCAGCCGCACGAAGTTTCCTAGCCATACCGACGGTGAATGGGTAAGATGGGCAATGGACGCCGACCTAGAATTTCCTGGAGCGACAGAGCTGAATGGAGGCCCTTGGGGACGTTCCTTTCCGCAGCCATTCGCGCTAGAGCCAGACGGGACTAGGTTTCTCCGAGGACCCGGGTTTCCTTGTCACGTGACCTAAAAGGAACACCCCTGATGCCTGAGGCAGATAGAGTTGTTCCAGCCACGTGCCGAACCAATGATGGAGATAATCGGAGACCCTCATCGAGGCTGGAGTCAGTTTGGCGCTTCCTGCACCATGATGTCATGGTCCCTTTCCGCTGATCGCCGACGGTTCGTTCCTTCGAACTGATTCGTGATCGCGCGGCCATCTTGTGTTGCCCGTTTCCCGCTGAACAGTTATCGGCTTCCCCGTGTAGATACATTCCCTTACCCCCTAGTACTACTACTACTTACTACACGGCGTGTAGCAAGTGCAATATGCGGGATTTCCTCCGAAGGTCAGTCATCCTTTGGCTTTCGCTACACAAAAAACCTATGTGGTCTAGACAGGTTCGGTAGCCTTGCATCCTGGCTGAAGCTGAACTGAACCATTGCCAGCACGACCCAAGCCAGCAGATGATTCATCTGCAGCGATAAGGTATGCGCGAGCCTGACCACTGACGTATGTAAGTGACAGTGATAACCTGTTCGGCCTCAACTTCACATGTCCGCCAAAGAGGCGGTGGGAGATGGAGCTTCTGGAACCCCTCAAAAGAGACCCCCACCACCCTCAATAATAGCGGCAGAGCAGGACTGCTGTGCTCCGCATTCCTCAACTCTGACCACCCTTATGCATCCCTGAAGGAGGGTAGGCCCCATCGCGTCACATAATCTTCAACGTGTGTTGGAGCCTGGGTGCTGCGAGGCCATCGCGGTACGGTCCCCTCCGTGGCTATCGGAATCGAGCGTGGGCCCGTGGATGTTTTCGGAGCGTCTGTGGTGACCAGATGCTGCGTGCCGCAGATCGCTTACACAACCTCGCAGCAGCCTGCAGGTGACCTACCTACTGATCGTGTCCAAATAGCCTCAGATGCAGCGACGGTCTCCCTAGTCAACTAGGGCATTTAGCTTATTATTGGCGGATCGTGGAGGGGGCGAGTGCGAAAACAAAGCAGAACTCCACCAAAAGGTTCCCCTGGATATCTTTTCCTGCGACTTCTGGTAGGCATCAATTTCCTAAACAGGCGAGCTGAGAAGAAAATTGCTCCTACCAGAACTCGCTATCTGCACGATGGAGCTCAGTGTCGGTTACACCATGGCAGTGATTGGCATTTTTAGGACTACCCCCTCCTCCTCCATCTCCTCCTCCTAACCCCCATTTTCTGGTCTACGACGGCCGGGTGTTTTTACCGTCGAACCAGGCCATTCTGAAACATAATCGATCCTACCTAAGCAGCGACTGCATTACAATGCTACTGGATCTGGCAGCTGCACGGACATGGTGTAACTCCGTATCGGCGACTTACCACCTCCCAGCCGTACAGCTGCCCTGAGCTTGTGATGCACAAACGTAAGGGGGTGACGAGCCCGGGATTCCCGCTAGCCTCGGGGCGCGCGATCTCCCAATCGTCCTCGACACCTTTGATTTGACTATGCGAGGCATAGATTACCGGTCTGGCCGATAGTTTGACTCAGATAGGAGGAAGAAATGCAACGCTTCGACTACCTAAGACTGGGAAGAATTCCAAGGGGTTGAGGATGCGGCTGCGGTCATACTATAGGCCCCCCCAATGTAAGATGGGTATAGGAATGGTACTAGAGACTACTGCAGAGCTACCATAACAACCAGCAGGGCTGTGTATCATTTGAAGATAGCCGTAGTTCCGCGCGAACACATCTCAAACGCGGGGCATCTGAGAATCCTTGAAAAGAACTTAACATGATGTCACTCAAATCTCAAGTTATCGCTCATAGTGTAGATAGCTTGCATTGACACACCATAAGGAAACGAGGTCCGGGCGGAAAGGGCAACGCATACCTAATCGGGCAATCAGTCGATCCGAACCGGGTGCGAATTACTTTAATTAATGACCTTGGTTAAGATCCAGAGACTTTACGGTTATGAATCATAGTAGTCCTAACAAGGTACTGTACATGCACCTCGAAGTACTTCTCCGGGACAAGTAAAGGGGGAAAGAAACTAATCCCTGTCATAGCAGTACTGTATTTGGACAACAACAAAACCAAGAGAGGGTCAGTGAGCTGTGATGAGGTATATTTCAATGGTTGTTGATGAGTTGATGACAGTTGCGGTGACCAAGTACTAACTACTCCACTGGTACCTACCCCACCCTCCCTCCATCCAATCCAACCGCGAAAGGAACCCAAAAAAGAAGAAGAAGAAGAAGAAGAATTAAGAATAATGAGAGATGAGGAGGTGGCGGCGGAGAGGATGATCTCCGGTGGTATTTTCAATGATTTACTTACCTTCTTGTCGGAGGGGCACTTAGCGTGAGGAGATGGTGGAGAGAGTTGAAAGAGGGGAAGAAGGAGAAAAAGCAGAAAAACTATATCCATTTTAGCTAAAAAGAGGAATTCGCTATTGGCATGTTCTGCCGGAATTTTGAGGGTACTAGTGGGTGGCCGTGGAGGAGCATAAGCTTTCTACCGAGGATTACAATGGGCAAAAAGAGTATCTGCAGGTCATTATTGCATCTCTAGGTGGGAATATTGGGTGATAATGTGGAATTATTTGGTCGGACTAATGCCGTTTCATAGTAAGTAGTATAGATAGTAGTATAGGGAAGGAGGGAGGGAGGGAAGGAAGGAGTTACTCGGGTATCTATCTAGTGGCAGTTTTGGCAAATGGAAAAGACAGAGAAGCCTAAAGAACAGACGGACCCATACCATGGCAGTGACTGGTGTTGGAATTATGCAGCGGGTTTTCTTGACTTTGGAGCATTCCCGGTTCCCACAACCCAGCCCACCCACCCATCCATCCATGTCCACCGGGCGGATAGCCCATCCTTGTCCAAAGAAGGGCCCCAAGAGAGAAGGAGAAGGGAGGCAAACCGGCACATCATCGGACCTCTGCGGTCATCGACGGGCTTGGGAGCCTGTCATTCATCCTTTTTGCTTTACACGGATAATAACTTATTCTTCTTTTTACTCTTGAAGGAGGGGGGATGAGTGGGAGGGAAGGAAAGAAGGAGGAATGGCAATTATTTCAACCATGCTGACCCCCCTCCAGCAGAATAAAAAGAAGATAGACGAAGGAGGAGATGATGGTAGTGGTAGTGAATTAATCATCCAGGAGTTTTTCTATTCCTGTTCCCTCTCTTTTATCATTCTTCCAAGGCATCTCTATCCGTTCCATGAACTGACCCCCTCCTTCTTCGTCTTCCTTCTTCATCACCGCTAGATAAATGTTACTGTGTGTCTCCTCTTCCAGCCACCAAAGCGATGTGGTTCGTGGTTGACTTCACCAGTGGTTCCATCCCATACTGCGCTTCGTCTATTTGCCAGCAGCACCGCCATCTCCACTCCGTCTGAGGCCTTTTCCCTTTTCCTTTTACTTACGCCTCCTGCCGCGCTTTGATTCGTTCCCTTTCCAATGGGTGGCATTTGCCTCCAATTCTAAGGGACACTCCGAGACAACAATGCACCCTTGACCACTACTAGGCTACTTCCTTCACCAGTAGCGTTGCCGAAGCTGTGCCAGTCTAGTAGTAATCGGTTCGAAAGAGTCATCATCATCATCATCATCATCATCATCATCATCATCATCAAACAAACCACCCTTGACCGGTCATCACCCATAAGACCCATCCTATAGTATAAGCACGTTCAACCAGACCTAAAAAAAGGCTTCACCACCAATTCTGACCTGTGTTCTGGTGCGAGAATAGAACCGGGAAGAAAAGAGGAGGTCACATCGTATTCTGGTCGTGTTTCTTCCATACAGAGCCATCGCTGGTTCTAACCATCTCACTCTTCCTCTCTCTCTCTCTCTCTCTCTCTCTCCCATCCTCGCTGGTTCCTTTGGTTTAACCTCAACCACTTCCCCTCACCCAACAGATCCTGTAACTCACTCAGCTCCTGTACTGCTTCCAAACCTTTTCTTTTTTACGCGTTTTTGCCATCCAACTTTCTTTTCTCCTCCCCCAGAATCTCGGTCGCGAAAGTTACCACAAGTCGACGGTCCCCATCCGCAGTCCCTGACCCGTTCAGCGGCTTCAGCGGCAGCTTAGGTCTATGACTATTGGGGGGTTTGGTTCGTTTTAACGCCACCTCATCGCCAACCTCAAATTTGAATTAACCGTCAAAACGTGATTTCCAAATTTCATCTTCCTTTTTTTAACCTTCTTCCCTCTTCGTATATTGACATCTGCCGGGGTTATCTCTTTTTTATTGTTTAAAAAAAAAATTCCACCCATCCTTGTTTCGTGTTTCCTTCCTATCAGTTCTGGCCATCTGGTACGAAACCCGCCATCCGCCGGCGTCCGCCCGCCATTTGTCCGTCTGCGCCTGATTGACGCTAAGGCTCCGTCGCCCACATTGACGGGCATTAATTGCCTGCCCGAGACTGACTGATTGAGTTCTTGGAGCCCATAAGTGCCTTTCTTCGTCAAGTTCGCCCCGGGAATTCATTGGGTTTCGTCTGTGAGTAAAACCCTCCAGGTTGGTGCTTCTCATTCCGTGCCTTTTTTTTTCCCTTCCCTCCCAATTTTCCCCTCAATGTCATTCATCGCTCTTCATCCTTGGCCGTCGACCCCATCAGCTCTACCCACTTTCCCTTCCACGGCTCCGTCGACACTCCTCCTAACAACTTGCCAAACAGTAACAGGGCATCCCGCTTTTCTACCCCTCCCTGCTCTTCGCCATCCGCACCCGATCGGATTCATCCTCCCGCAAACTTCCTTGACTTGTCAACCTCCCAACAGCGTCTGACTCACCTTTTTGCTTCCCACGTTTCAACTTTGCTCGTCGAAAGACGTCATACCTTCAGCGATCTGTCCTCGATCATCTCGTTGGTTTGACATCACTACTTCTATCACAGCGGCGCGACCGACAGATTCGACCCTCGGTATTCCTGGTTGTGGATTTTGGGTGTCGGATGGAAACATAAAGATGGCTGCTGCTCAGAGTGGACTAGGGCCGCATGGAGATGCGGGCTCATTGAAGCAGCCCAGATCCCGGAGGTGAGTACAGTGTCACAACTTTCACCTCGTTCTTGCTGTTTGGTCTGGATTTCATCGTATGCCGGGTGTGGCAAGAGAGTGTGTGGTAAAAGGATGAAAGAGCTGGGTGCGAAGTTTTCGCTCAACGGCGGATGATGGCCGTACTTCAGCCCTCATTGTGTTGTCATGTTTAGCATGCAAGCTTCCCATCCTCGGTTTCTGCGGCGCTGCCCATGGATCATGTCGCGTGCGGGAGTCATCCACGACAAGCAATGACTATATGCCGCACGGGCTGAAGAGGAAAACAAAAATCGCTCTGCATGAAAACTGCCACTCCATTGCTCTGTCGATGCCAGCTCAAGACCTAGCACCCACCCCTGCTCTGCTGTGAATCGCTTGCCTTGTGCTTTCTGTCTTGCGTTATCAGTCCACCATACATAGCACCATGGGGGTCTTAATTACGCTGTCATGCCTAATTTCAACAACACTGGCCTTCCTGATCATGGCTGACTCGTGCGCTAGCAATGGTACGCAAGAAGACGACAATCAGGATCAAATCGGCTCCAACAGTCCAACTCCTACTGGGATCTCGACTCCACAGCCCGATCTAGCGGACAAGCGTCTGCCTTCCATAAATTCCAGTTATTTCCAGGTTGGTTCTCCCTCTGGTGATAAGTCCCGTTCCTCCAACACCCGGTCTTCTGAGACTTCTACTTCCGCGCAAAACCCCCAGTCGGATGCGGCCCCCACAGGGACACGGGATCGAGGTTCCTCACCCTCGGGCTCCTTCGTTATGATGGAGCGCCCCGAGGCTTCGGATACCCAGTCATCTACCGTTTCGCCGGACCAGAGCCTTGAGACACACACATTGCAGCCGGAAACGTTGCCCCCAACGAATTTGCCTACTCCCCCCTACAGTTCCGCTTGTTCTCTTTTGCAGAAAGAATCGGATGAGGCTGAACTGGGCTCCTCTGCCCCGGATAAGGGCATGGGCTCCATCTTCAATACTTTGAAAAATTACCTCTCCCCCTCCGGAAGCATGTCATCTCCTGAACAAACATCCCGCCGTCACACCTCTCTTCCCGTCTCAAGCGTCTCTGACGATCCAGTCCTTGCCTCCCACTTTTCCAATCCCTCCCTTCTTCCTGCTTCAGATGCGTTCTGTTTGCCGGATGCTCCCCTTCTCGAACACGAAAAACCACATGTGTCTATGTCTTCTGAGAATCTGGCGAAGCTAACTGGAACTGTGTCGGATCTCGTGCGTCTAAAGAGTACACCTCCTCTTACTCCTCGAGCAATGTCCAATGAAGGTTCGCAAACCGACAAGAAGCCACCCACCTCCTCCCCTCATCCGTCGGAACCTGCCCAGCCGCCTTCCGATGAATCGGCGAATGCAGCCGACGAGATCGCTGGCAAGCTCAACGAAGCGTTCCCCCCTGAAAGAGATACTCCCTCACCAACTGGTCCTCCGGTGGCCTCGCTGAAGGGCAAGCTCTACGTGAACATATCCGAAGCTAGAGGGCTCCGACCTGGGTTCGATCCGTACGTCGTCTGCGTTTTTGAGTGGAATGAAGTCATCTCAAAGAGCGCCCAGGACGAAGAAGCGGCTACCTTGGAACGCCAACAGAAAGAACAAGAGAAGTCGGACCGTGAGGCTGGACGCCCAATGGCGATCCCCATGAAGAGTCGGCAAAGCAGCAACAACAGCGCGCTCGACGGTGAGCCTCGGGGGCGTGCCCCAGTGACCGACCCGCATTGGAACCACGAAGCGGTCTTGTACGTTCATCCTCCTGTTAGCATGTTAACGAAGGGTATGTGGCTAACTATTACCTTTTAGCGATGTCTTTGGTGATCAGTCAGAGGTAGATGTCTCGGTGTATGATCGCAAAGATCAGGAAGCATTCTTGGGCCACGTGCGCCTTTGCATCAACTTGAAGGATGACAACAGCCGGCTAGAAGGATGGTTCCCTCTGAAGTCCCGTGGCGCGGGTGACTCTCAAGTGTCTGGGGAGATCCACATGGAGATGCGCTTCGAGCGGACAGAGAAGAAGCAGGTTGGGCCGAATGACTTCCAAATCCTCAAGCTCATTGGCAAAGGGACGTTTGGCCAGGTCTATCAGGTCAAGAAGAAGGACACACGTCGTATCTACGCGATGAAAGTCCTGTCGAAGAAGGTTATCATTCAGAAGAAGGAGGTCGCACATACTCTGGGAGAGCGGAATATCTTGGTCCGCACAGCCATGGCGGCTTCACCTTTCATCGTCGGCCTGAAGTTCTCCTTCCAAACACCCACCGATCTATATCTTGTCACAGACTACATGTCCGGTGGTGAGCTGTTCTGGCATCTTCAGAAGGAGGGGCGATTCCAGGAGGCCAGAGCGAAGTTCTACATTGCCGAGCTCATTCTAGCTCTGCAGCACCTTCATGATCACGATATCGTTTACCGGGATCTCAAGCCGGAGAACATTCTGCTCGATGCGAATGGTCACATCGCTCTCTGTGATTTCGGTCTCTCCAAGGCCAATTTGACCCAAAACGACACGACGAACACGTTCTGTGGTACGACTGAGTACCTGGCTCCGGAAGTATTGCTTGACGAACAGGGATACACCAAGATGGTCGATTTCTGGTCTCTTGGAGTTCTCGTGTTTGAGATGTGCTGCGGCTGGAGTCCATTCTACGCCGAGGACACGCAGCAGATGTACAAGAATATCGCCTTTGGCAAAGTTCGGTTCCCTCGGGACGCTCTCAGCACGGAGGGAAGGAACTTCGTAAAGGGCTTGCTTAACCGGAACCCCAAGCACCGCCTTGGTGCCAAGGGCG